ACAAGCAAAAACAAAACAGTATATACATAAGTTATAATCACTTTAGACAATTTAGAAAATGCATAAAATTATAGAGAAAATTAGTACTAGCTGATTTTCATTATGCAGATATTCTTATATGCTAAGATGATAGTTTATATGCACCAAGTGCTTTATATTTCTTATTTTCTACTCAACAAGTTTTTCTCATCATTAAGAATGTTTCATAAGTATTTGTAATAGTTCTATCCTGATATTTTGTTTTGGATATATTATAACTATTGCCATGAGTGTTGGACCTTTGTTCAGCTTTCAGTGGTTTTTTTTGTTTGTTGTGGCTAACAAATAAATATTACCCAGTGATAAGCCTTTTATATATGTTGTGACTTTCCTAGATGGAGTTTTAGAAATGGGAATCCCAATTAGTCAAAAGCAGTGGATTCTTAGCTAAATGTCTTGTATTCAAATTGAGATCCAGTCTGTGCTTGGGTGCAAGGTTGAGGACACATGTAGTATGAAAACCAAGTGAGGCCTCGAGGAGTGGCAGTGGGGCTGTGGGCCTAGATACATCATTATCCTTGTAACCTGTCAGTTTGCTCTATCTCTAGTAATCTCTGAAAGCATTTCTCATAACACTTGTGCAGACTTGAATATAATAAAATTTGATATTAACAATGAAAAATGGTATCACTCTCCTGTTCTTTGATACCTAGACATACTTTTTGGAGAGCACTATAGAATATTGTTTATCTTAAAAGATAATCTATTCCCTATCTTTCCAGCAAAGACCTTGTGTTTTAACCCTAAGTACTCTGGTCACAGCAGAGTACTTAGTTTGTTAAGGCAGAGTACACACATATTTTCATGTGGGATAAGGCCTGTTTTTCTGTGAAGGCTGATGTAGCTGTCAATATAAGTGCCACAGATCAGCTGGATCACCTGTTGCTTCTACTCTGGAAGCAAAGCCATGACTTTTAACTTAGTTTTGTGGCCTCCAAATGATAAACTGAAGTGAACTCTTATAGCATGAACCAAGAGGAAATTAGTCACCTTCTGAATGGATTCATTATGGCTCTTAAAGTATAGTTTACTGCCCATCATATAAATTCAGTTCTAAAAATATCATTTACTTAGTTTAAATTTTTACTCTCATATAGAAGCATTTTTTATGTTTTTATTTGGGGCCACAACTGACTTGCTCAAGAGGTTATTCCTGGCTCTCTCTGCATAGGGATCATTTCCTGCATGTCACCTTTTTAAACATTAAATTAGGTATACCTCTCTGACCTTAAAACACTAAAGCCAATGGATTTAATAAGTATTTTATTGTTACTTTCAGTGGTTGTTTGAGAGAGTATGTGTGTGTTTGTGTGAGTGTGTGAAGCAAGATAGTTTTTATCGAAAATTACTTAGATGTGAAAGGAGAGAAAGAGGAGAGAACTTAGCTTCTCCAAAGTGGAAAAGGCACAGAGATACAGACATAGACAGACGAGCAAGATATGAAAAAGTGGCTTGCATTTAAAGAGCAAGCTACTTTAAATGTTATCAAAAGTCTTCATAATTTAAATATATAACTTATTAAATGAGGGTTTAATCATAAAAATATATAATTCCACTGGAGTTTGAATCTAGTAGATGTGATGATAGTGATGATGATGAGAGAAATGGTTGTCAGGCCTAAAACTGTAGAGTATGTCCCCACAAATAGTAAAGCAATCATGGGAAAAATAAGATGGGACACATCACCTGCCCCAACTTCAAACTCTACGACAAAGCCATAGTAATTGAAACAGCTTGGTATTGGGATAAAGATAGACCCTCAGGTCTATGAAACAGAGTTGAATATCCTGACACCAATCCCCAAATATATGATCACCTAATCTTTGATAAAGGAGCATGAAATATGAAGTGGAACAAGGAACGCCTCTTTAACAAGTGGTGCTGGGAAAACTCCATGAAAAAATGAACCCAGACCTCTTTCTAATGCCATGCACAAAAGTCATCAAAATGGATTAAAGACCTCAGTGTCAGACCTGAATCCATAAGGTACATGGGGGAAAATATGAGAAGAATTTCTCATGACATTGATGCTAAAGACATCTTCAAAGATGAAACACCACTGACCAAGCAAGTGGAAGCAAAGGTAAACAAAGGGGACTGCATTAAACTAAGAAGCTCCTGCACCTCAAAAGAAATGATGTGCCAAAATTCAAATATATCCCAGAAGCTTTCTCAAGGAAGAAATACAAATGGCCAAAAGGCACATAAAGAAATACTCCATATCACTAATTATCAGGGAGATGCAAATCAAAACAATAATGAGATATCATTTCATACCACAGAGACTGGCACACATCCGAAAGAACAAGAACAATCAGTGCTGGTATGGATTCAGGAAGAAAGACTCTCCTTCATTGTTGGTGGGAATGCTATCTAGTCCGCCTTTTTGGAAAACAATATTGTTATTCCTCAAAGACCTAGAAATTGAGCTTCCATGTGACTCAGCAATACCACTTCTGGGAATACACCCCAGGAGCCAAAAAACACACTGCAGAAAAGCCACCTGCTTTTCTCTGTTTATTGCAGCACTGTTCATAATAGCCAGAGTCTGGAAAAAAACTGAGTGCCAGGTGACTGGATAAAGAAACTATGGTATATCTACAAATGGAATAATAGTGCACAGCCACCAGGAAAAATGAAGTTATAAAATTCATGTATAAATGGATGGACATGAAGAGTATCATGCTGAGTGAAATGAGTCAGAGGAAGAAGGACAGACATACAATGATTGGACTCATTTGTGGAATATAAAAACACATAGTATGAGACTAATACTGAAGGATAGTAGAAATAAGAGCCAAGAGGAATGTTCCACAGTTGGAAGCTTGCCACAAGTGGTGGCTGGGGGAGGGCAGCTAAGATAGAGAAGGAACCGCTGTGACAAGGACAGTCGGAAATGATCACGCTGGGCAAGAACTGAGTGCTAAAGTAGGTAAAGGGGAAACAGTAACTTTTCGGTACCTGTATTGCAAACCATAATGCCAAGAAGAAAGGGAAGGAGAGAGAGAGACAGACAGAGAAGTGCCTGACATAGAGGCAAGTTGTGGGGAGGGGAGGGCGGGAGGGAAATGGGGGACATTAGTGGTGAGAAATGTACACTGGTGAAGGCACGGGTAATGGAACATTGTATGACCCAATCATGAACAACTTTGTTACTGTGTTTCTCAGCGTGATTCAATAAGGAAATAAAACAGTATAAGAATGGGGCTGGGCCATAGTTGGGAGCCTGTCTTGTGAGCCGGGGGAGAAGGCAGCTGGAATAGAGAAGGGATCACTTAAGAAAGTGATAGTTGGAGGGATTGGTTGGGTTGGGAGATGTGTGCTGAAAGTAGATAAAGGACCAAATATGGAAACCTCTCAGTATCTGTATTGCAAACCATAATGTCCAAAAGCAGAGAGAGAGTATGGGGGAAATTGTCTGCCATGGAGGCAGGGGGAGGGTGGGAAAAGGTGGGTATACTGGTGACATTGGTGGTGGAGAATGTGCACTGGTGGAGGGATGGGTGTTTGATCATTGTTTGATTGAAACTCAAACATGAAAGCTTTGTAACTATCTCACGGTGATTCAATAAAAAAAAAAGAAGAGAAGAAAAAAATACTGACATGCTAAGTTGTGATTAATAAAAATGCTATTGTGAGATCTTTGAAAAAATAACAATGTGATACAAAATATCTGTGATTTCTGTCAGTAATAAAGAGTGGGTACTGATAAAAAAAAAAGAAAAAGAATGGAGCTGGAGTGATAGTATAGCGGGTAGGGTGCTTCCCTTGTACACGGCCGACCTGGGTTTGATTCTCAGCATCCCGTATGGTCCCCCGAGCACTGCCAGGAGTAACCCCTATGCATTGCCGGGTGTGACCCAAAAAGAAGAAAAAAAAAACAGGATAAGAAGCACCATGCAGATTTTTAAAAAAATGTATCATGTTTGACTAGGAAAATCCACATCTTGACTAATGCATGTGGTTATGTATCTGCAAGACAGGATAAATGAAGATATCCACAAAAAGAAATAAGCTGGTCTTTTGGCTTGGAATAAGAAAAATGAGAGAGGCAAGGTTTCTAATAGTATTAGTGTAGAGATGAGCTAGGACTGGGAAGTTGTACAGAGCCTCACAGTTCAGCTCAAATGGGTCTCTGGAACACTGGAGTCACTGTAAGTGCAGTGAAAATGTTCTGTGGAAAGGGCAAGGTGCTGTCTTTGCCCCTCTGTGTGATCTGGATGTGGTGACCAATTTTTTGACTGAGGGACAAGGAGAATACCTTATGGATTTTATATATGTTTGGGTGTTTTCTATTCAAAGATAACTTTTTCAGAACAGGCAGTGAAGAGAAACCAAAAAAGGTCTGAGGAAAATTAGCGGTGGGCAGTGTCAAATGACTAATCCAGATCAAATGACTTAGATGTAAACTGTACAAACAAAAATTTGACAGCTAAGAGGCTTTCTTCATCTGTCCCTGGAAGTTTATGTGGAGTAGTGGTGGTAGAAGTTGGAGTGACTTAGGTTAGTGTTTTCAGCCCTAAATGTGACTCTTTGTTGTTTGTTTGTAGACCCGGGTCATGGTTTGAAATGTAACCACTATGCCTATAGATACATTGCACATTTAAATTCTAGTCTTTTTCTAATCTCATTTTGTAAAGTGCCACACATCACAGAGAAAGGGATAGATTAGCATAAGCCACTTAAGACCTGCTACTTAAGTCTATGAACTTAAGCAACTTGTCTGCTTCTTTTATGCCTCACTCTCCTTGTCTTAGGCACAGACTTGTTCATGAGAATTAAATTACACTTTGTAAAGTAGTCATTGCTATGGGGAGGATGTGATAAAATTGACAGCTTGTTACTCAAGCTACTATTTTTCCAGTATACTATAGCCACAATATTCTCGAATTTTTTTTTTCCTGAAAAAAATCTCAGCCCTTCAATCCCACTTACCACTTATTACATCCATCTATTCCTAGACCATTAGACAGGTTTGATCGAGAGAGACCACTGAGAGCACGTGGTGGCCTGAGAGGAGGCATTCGAAGCAGAGGAAGAGGGGGTCCTGGAAACAGAGCTTTTGATGCCTTCGACCAGAGAGGGAAACGAGAGTTCGAAAGATATGGTGGGAGTGATAAGACGTAAGTTTCTTTGCAAATACTGTTTTTACTTAATGTCTTATAGTATGTTTATGAATCTTTTTATGTTCCAGTTGACTTTAGGTTAGTGGCTATTATTCCTGAGAAAGATGAGGCCAGGGCAGCTTTTATCATCAACTTTTCTTACTGGAGAGCAACTTCCAGTTCAAGGGTATATTCTTTCTTTCTCTAGAGTCAGCAGAACCGAAGACAACATGGGGGGATGTGGAGTTCGCACTTGGGGATTGGGTAAAGAAACCAGGTATTGTATAAACATGTGCTCTCTTATAAATTACAGTTATATTTGTGCTGCTTTTAAAATTCTACAGTTTCTACCATAAAGAGTTGTGACAAATGATTGTATATTTTTAATGCCTGCGTATTTTCATGTGCCTCAGAATGCTTTTTAAATTCCTAGATGTTGCATATTTTCTGTGACTTTTCAAAGTGTTTGTATACATTATATCTTGGTTTTATGAAATCAAAATTATAGCTCAGTGAAAAATTTCACCTGAGGCTTATCTGAGATACCATAAAGCCTTTATGCGGTCCAAACTAGTTGTTTATTTCTTTTTCCCGCTTTTTGGGTCACACCCAGCAATGTACAGAGGTTACTCCTGGCTCTGCACTCAGGAATCACCCCTGGAAGTGCTCAGGGGACCATATAGGATGCTGGGAATCAAACCCGGGTTGACCACGTGCAAGGCAAATGCCCTACCCGCCGTGCTATTGCTCCAGCCCTGGTCCAAACTAGTTTTAATACTTAGAAGAGATACTTGGTTCTCCTGAATGTCATTGTATGGCTGCAGAGGCAATATCTTCTTGGTGTCTGCAAAGAAATAAGTAGAAATAAGCAGGGAGTGCAGGCAAGAAGTGGATCCCCCTCAATGAAGTGTCATAGGGCAAGTATTTCACAAGTTGGAAAACCTGAAAGGGATGCAGACTTCTGACTTTACTTTGAAGAATAAACTTTGTTTTTGTTTTTAAGATATATGTTCAAAAAATAAATTAAATATACTAATATTGCACAGCTGTGCTGTTATTGAAAGGAAATGTGTTGAAATTTCCTAAATCCTAGGACACACAACACACACTTCCCCTTCTGAATAATCTAATTTACTCTATTATCTAGACCACTCCATTGTCTTTCGATTTTTAACCTAAAATCAATTTGGATCTAGTTTACTACATACCCTAAGGGGAGGTCAGTTTACTGTACTATCTCTCCAGCCTCAATAATTGAAATTTCTAAATTAAATCTTTTCAGTTTTAATTGTACTTTTTTTTTCTTTTTGGATGACACCAAGCAATGCTCAGGGGTTACTCCTGGCTCTGCACTCAGCAGTTACTCCTCCTGGTGGTGCTTGGGGGACCATATGGGATGCCGGGGATTGAACTCAGGTTGGCTGCATGAAAGGCAAACGCCCTATCCACTTTGCTATCATTCTGGCCCCTAATTGAACTTTCAGTAGCATGAAAACTGTATAGTGCAGTGGAATTATGTGCCAGCCTGGATAAATGAGAGTAGAGATGAGTCAAACACAGGGTGTTGTGCATCTGTCCGCTGAGGCTCAGTGCCCCACACTATGTTGAAGGTGCAAAGAATTTGCTGCAGTTTAGTTTTCCTTCTTGAAGATGTTGATAGTAAAGCCAACAATGAACCAAACAATGAAAGTGGTGTGACTGAACTATTTCACACACTGTTAGAGTTTTTTTCAGTTTGACGGTGTCTGCTGAAAATAGAATTTCTCCCTCTGCAATAATGAAAAAGTATATCAGATAAATCTGTTACCATTTTGAATACTCACAAAAGGAATTTTCAATACCATCTCCTTCCAATATTCATTGTGAAGAGGAAGATATTTGATGTAGAAATCAGGTAATATTTGGTTAAAATATGTTCATTATCAGAAATTTGGTTAAGTACGAAATCTTATCGAATTTGAACTAAAAATCCTTTAGTGTTATTTTGTGGGACATGATATGTTCAAAAAGATATTTTATACATTTAGTATAATTGAAGTCAGGAAATAGAAGCCATCAAATGATGTCTTTCTCCTAATCAATCCAATATTGATGATTTACTTTCAACAGAATTACAAAATTTGCCGAAATAAGTTGTTGATTTTGAAAATTATTTGGCATTTTGGTTATGTAGTTCTACATCAATTTAGAACATCAATTTTAGGTTTAATCTATAAGCATAAAATTCTGTACAGGCAGGATATCTGTGATATTTTCTTTAAAAATTGGTTGTACTAAAAAGTAAATGCTAGATGATCTTGTGTTTGCTTTGACAACACAGACTAAAATTGGAACATTACATAGAAGGTTAGTATGGACTCTGTACAAGGATAATGTACATTTTTGAAGCATTCAGTATATTTTTTAAGGTGCTAGATGATAGTGCTAATAAACCTGGTTTTTGTTTTGTTTTGTTTTGTTTTTTTTGGTTACACCCAGTGATGCTCAGGCTATATCTGGCTCTGCACTCAGGAAAGACCCCCTGGCGGTGCTTGGGACCATTTGGGATTTTGGGGATCGAACCCAGACAGCCGCATGTAAGGCAAATGCCTTCCCTGCTGTACTGTCACTCCAGCCCCAAGTAAACCTGTTTTTCCATCCCCTTGGTTTATTTTGTAGCTAACAGAATACAGTGAAGGTTGGACCAATTCAGTGCTGTTTTAGATTCTAGACTTGGGATTCCTTGTTGCTAAAAATTGTTGTGACCCCCCTTCATAGGGACCTGTGTGCTCTGCCCACAGTGGTCTCTCAATCACAGCATGTGGTCACTTGATTTAAGATCTCATAAAAGCAAAATATCCAGATTTTATGCTGAAAACTGCATTTAAACAATTGGTTATAGACCTGAGAAATAGTACCACAGATCGTGCACTTATCTTGCATACAGTTGACCCAGATTTAATCCCTGCCACTATATACAGTTCTGCAAGCCAGCTGTGACCCCCCCAAACCCATAAAATTAAAATTAATAATTGGTTACAGTAAGTTTTAGTTGAAAATTTAAAAACTTATTGTAAATAATCTGTTTCATAGTTCAACTTACATTTGCTTTTTATTAAAATGGTGAGGGCCAAAGCAATAATACAGCGGGTAGGGCATTTGCTTTGCATGCAGCTAGCCGGGTATGCATGGTTTGATCTCTGACATCGCATATGGTTCACCAAGCACCACCCCAGGAGTAATTCCTGATAGCAGAGCCAGAAGTAACCCCTGAGCATTACCAGGTGTTACCCAAAAAGCAGAAAAGAAAAAAAAAACAGTTGATATTTTTTGAGTAGCTATATTTATACTAATTTTAGCATTTTTTGCACTTATTTCATTTTTTGTATTATCTTCTTTTTAACACCATTTCCTAAGTTTGATATGATGTCTATTCTATAGTAAATATAATATATATCAGGTACTATAATATATATACTATGTTAAATATATAACATGTAATGTTACACATACTATTTATATACTGTATAACAAACTATGTTATATCTGCTATGCTATAGTTTAACATAGAGATGGCAAATTTGTATGGCCCTATTTATATTTGGATTTCCCTAGAATATTAAGAGTTTTGAATATTATCTGGTCCTTTACCCAGAGAACTTTGTATAATTTTTGGAAATAATTTACATAGGTTGACAGCTAAGAGCATATTTCTCTTTTTCATTTGGATGTGGTTACCTGTATATGTATATAATTCCTTGAGGATGTTGAAAGAAAAAGGGTGTTGAAAGTATTTGCTTTTATTCTGAACGAGTGAAGGCGCTGGTATGAATACACTTGCATGACTCAGATTGTTCTCTGCCTTTCAGCGATGCAGAGCCCCTGGTGCCAATGGAAGAGGCCACAGTGACAGAGACCGCAGGCTCTCCAGAGCAGGAGTCTCCAGCCAAGTGCGTGTTTCTTCTTTTTCCCCCTGAACTTTATTTACACTGTGGTTTACAAAGTCATTCCTGATGATTTGTTACAGGCATTCAGTGTTCCAGCACCAGTCCCAGCACCACCACGTCATTGCCCCACCACCATCGCTTCCTTTTTGCCTAGCACCTCTCAAGCCTGCCCCTCATGGCAGGCCCACAGTAATTTATTTTATATTTCTTGTTACCCATAAATGGCTAACAATGATCAAAAAGTATCTCCTTAGACTTGGGGCTGGAGCGATAGCACGGCGGGGAGGGTGTTTGCCTTGCATGCGGCCGACCGGGTTGATTCCCAGCATCTCATATGGTCCCCCGAGCACCGCCAGGAGTAATTCCTGAGTGCAGAGCCAGGAGTAACCCCTGTGTATCACTGGACATGACCCAAAAAGCAAAAACAAACAAACAAACAAACAAAATTTTCTTAGAAGAAAATTTGTGAAAATTGTTGTAGCTCACTATGTGGATATTAAGTTGCTTCATGGGCCTGAGTGTTTCATTTTTTTCTATTGGGTTGTTACTTGTTTTCTTCAGGATTTCTCAGATCAGGAAGTCAAATCTTTGCCATAGCACAGAACGTGAATTTTCTTAATTTACTAATGAGTAATAAACTAATAGTTCAAGTAATCTATAAATGATAATAGTTCTTGAGCTCAACCATGTATTCAGTTCTATGCCCACACATTTTCCTGTCACCAGCCTGTTCTGTAACTTGGATCTCCTCAGGATCTAGTCTCTGCTCCATTTAGTCCGTCCTCCCTCCTTTATTCAGGGAGCACTTGAAGCATCAAGCACGTCTATCAAGGCTTAAGTACCCTCCCTTTTGACCTCGTGTTGTATTCTGCTAGCACCACCCACATGTAAGACCCACAGGCCGCGCATTGCAATAAATTCTTAATAACCAGCATTCTGGAATGAACCCTTAGCACCTCCCATCAACCCTGATTTTTCAGACTCCCTTTTTCCCACCCTCTGCATTAACTGGTTCAGTATTTTTTTTTCTTTTTGGGTCACACCCAACTATGCACAGGGGTTCCTCCTGACTCTGCACTCAGGAATTACTCCTGGCGGTGCTGGGGGACCATATGGGATGCTGGAAGTCGAACCCGGGTCAGCCGCATGTAAGGAAAACACCCTACCCGCTGTGCCATTGCTCCAGCCCTGACTGGTTCAGTCTTGCTTCTCACCTAAACGTGGTCGCTGCCTGCCACTTCACCCTTTTCTAGCCTTTACCCACTCCTGCATCCCACTTTGCGTTTTGGGTTTTTGTCCTCTACGTCAGAGAGGAGAGAGGAGCCGTCATATTTGACTCTGTGCAGCAGAGTTGGATGCAGAAACCAAGACAGGTGCAGTAGCTGGCCTCGACAGCCCCATGTAGTAGGTGGCCTTGCCTTTTATTAATAACAGCCTTCATTTCCCTTCTCCCTCCCATAACGTGCACCATTCCCCATGAGTTCATAACGAGAACAAAGGATAAACTCTCAGTGCAGCTGTGGGCATTGGGAGGGGGAACAGTGAATAAGCAGTGGTCTTGAGACTTGGGAAGGCCATGTGCTCTTCTGTTCTTTTGTTTTGGTGGGCTGGGGGCACACCCAGTGGTACTCAGGGCTTACTTCTGGCTCTGTACTCAAGGATAATTCCTAGTGAGGCTTACCGGACCATATGGAGTGCCAGGAATTGAATTCAGGTCTCCCGTGTGCAAGGCAAAAGTTCTACCTGCTACACTATCACTTCAGCCCCAGCACTGCTCTTGGCAGGACTCTCCCTGCCAGGCTGTGCTGCAACCCCCATGAGTAAGTCTGTACTTTGCTTAGCAGGATGTTTCCTGCTTAAGTCTGAGCTCTCCCTGGCAGGACATAAATTTGCGTAAACCTCAACTTTTCTTAGCAGAACATTTCTTGCTAGGCTACACATTTGCAGCTCTTTTGTCCTTGACCTATGTTTGGCTTACCCAGGATATTTCCCAAATCTTAGGGCCTGCATGTACAGGGCAGTTTCCCACACATCATCATCTTCTACTACCAAAGGTGACCCTACTGTGCCCACCTCTTACCTCTTGTAGGAAATTGGAGGCACTGTTTTCCCTTCACTGCTACAGGAGCCTGATGCCTGGTGCTTTCCCTTTAGGTATGTTCACCTCCTTCCTCCCAACTCATGTCTTCCAATCAGTACTAAACATCTTATGCCTGTGTGAACCACTGTGGCTTAAATAACACAAAAGAATAAGCCAGCATCTCTCACTGCTTTCCCTCATACCTCCCTCCTCCCACCCACCATTCCCAGAGCCCTTTTCAGACTTGTGCACACTCCCCCCTTCCTCCCCTTTCTTCAGCGTCACTCCACATCTGCCTCTGCCCTTTGTGTCCTTCTGAAGTGTCCACCCTATGGCTGCAGGTGTTTCTGTCTGTGTCTTTGTTGACCTCTTGGAGTCTATGCCTCGGCACTCAGGTGCCCCTGGGGCCGTTCCTGCAGACACTCAGCCAGCAGAGTCAGATGGGCTCTGACTCCCAACTGGACCACTGATTCCTGAGCTCTTTCTCCAGCCTCACATTTGACTTAGTTGATTATTTTCCTATTGTATAGAGAGGGAAGGTGGGGGAGAGAGGGAGAAGACGAAGAGAGAGAGAAGCATTCACATTCTCTTGGACATTCTGAAAACTCCCCATGCTCAGGAGGTTAAGGACTAGGGTTCCCAAGCCCTCAGTTCTCATTCAGTTTCCGTCTTGTGGGATAGCTTTACTTCCATCTTGTTGCCAAGTCAGAAACCGAGGCGTCAGCCTTGAGACTTTATTCTTTATCCCCTCTCTTTCCGGTCCCTTTTCTGACCCCTTTTTTGGCCTACGTGGCCCTGAGGATCTCGCCCCTGCTCCCAGTCCTTCTCAGGATCCAGCATGTTTGAATTTACAAACATACTTTCCCCTTACTTGCCACAGAGCTTTTACAAGTGCTATTTCCTTGCATCTCTATCCCTCTCCTTCAACTCCCCTCACCGTGGGTCTACTTACTCATCCAATTCTGCCAATAAGCAGGGTATTGTTAAGAGCACAATCTTTGGAGTGAGTTGTAGTGGGTTCAAATCTCAGCTCCCACTTACTAGCTTGGGTGGGTTAACTGACATCTCTGGCTCACTTTTTTAATCTGTAAAATGGGAGTATCAGAAGTTGGCGTATATAATAAGATTTATTGTGTCTGTCTCATACAATGGCTTATGTGGTTAGTGCTCGATGATTGTTGCTGTTGTTACTTTACTTTGCGCATTAATGCTATAAAGATTGTAAAAGCTGTTAATTACTCAAAATTAAGAAATGTATTTAACAGTTAATATGAATATTTAGGTAGTGAATTAACTGATAAAATAGATTAGTAGTATATGCGAATGTTGAGAAAGTGAATTAACTAGAAAACTTCAGGGAGAACTTTGTGAGCTAATGAATATATAATTCAGGTTGAATAATAGGAAATTACAGCAAAATTCCAAGGAATAAAATTGACTTTGGTATAGTCGAGTATCCATCCTATTTGACAAAGTAATCTGTTACTATGAACAACAAAATAGTGATTTATGGTGATCTCACAGTTCCCAGCACCCCAGCTGAGCTGGCCAGCCCACCCGCGCGTCTGCAGACAGTGGGCAGGACAGCAGGGAGCTGCCCAGGGGATGGCCACAGGGGAGGGCTCATGGTCAGCCATACTGAGTTGTTGTTCCCACACCGCTTTACCAAACTTTAAATTTACTAAACTAGTAGTAGAATAGTTATTTTTTATCATTTCAAAATCAGTTTTGTATCTGAGTGCTGCACTTGAGGATGGTGTCAGATACTCACACACTTGGCACTGCACCTGTTGGTGTGGAACACTGTGGTGAGTCACATTGGTCTGTCCCTACGGAGCTCCACAGCACATACACCTTCAGCCGGGACATGCAGTCTGTGCTTTCTTTTTTCCATCCTTCATCTATCCTCCTGCCCTCTCTCCTCCTTTTCACCGTCATTAGGCAGGCAGTCACTCTCATTCCCTTTTCTCCCAGTAGTCTGCTTTGTTTCTCTGAATTTCCCCTTTCTGTATATTTCCCATAGTTAGATTCATATGTAAACTTCATATGCCATTTATTTTGCTTAACATATATTTAACTCATTTTTTAAGTAAAAAATGTTTTAGTTGTGATTCCCTCATGTCCTCCGTATTTCAGTGATCGGGTGGGTGTGGGGGTTTCGTGTGCCTGGACTTGGTGCTTGCGCATTTCTAACTGTTGTTTTCACTCTGGCTTGCACAGTGGTTGTGGTCAGATACCCATGACCACACTGCTCACCACAGCGGCCATTCCTTTGTGATGCTTACCCTGACGCTTGTTTGGGACCTCATTCTGCCTGAGGCGTAGTTATGGCTGTCATTCTCCTCCCAGCTTGCAACGGGGCTCACACGTGTGCTTCTGGACTCTGCGCTTTTAGCAGTTGCATCCACATGCCCTGAGTGTAGAGCATCCTGCAGATTCAGAAGCAGATGGTAACTTTACTTGGGCATGTGCCAAGAGTGAAGTGACTAGATCAGACGGTAACAGTTTGCTTTTATTCCCTCTCTGCTTCTGGAGCTCAAACCCAGGGCCTCACATGTAACAGGTTTCTGTGCTGTCCAAAATGTTTGAATTCCTGAGGGCCTCTGCCAAACTTTTTGCATTCTCTTCAACAGTGTATTTTTTAATTCTTTTTTAAAAGTATATTACATTAAATTTTATTTTATACTTGGATCTCATGGTAATAGTCATCTTACCTGTCAATAAAACTTTAAAACAATTCTTTATTAATGCTTGAGCGGGCACGAGGAATGTCTCCATTGTGAGACTTGTTACTGTTTTTGGCATATCGAATACGTCATGGGGAGCTTTCCAGGCTTTGCCATGTGAACGAGATACTCGGTAGCTCCCAGAGGGGTGAAGGAATTGAACCCGGGTTGGCCCAGGTCGGCTGCGTGCAAGGCAAACGCCCTACCCGCTTGGAATTTGCGTGGAATAGGTAAGGCTTATAAATGTAAATTTCCCCCCTACACTTTATATAAACTCTGTATGTACCTTATGGTGTTTCACTAATTAAAATTAAAAAAAAACCCTCTGTGGTTTGCAAGTTGTTGATGTTTGCAAGTTGTTGATGATGATTTGTTACAAGCATTCAGTATTTCAACACCAATTCCACATCTTCCCTCCACCATTGTCTCCAATTTCCCCAACCGTCCCTTAAGCCTGCCCCATAGCAGACCCTCAATAATTTATATTGTTTATCAATAATTTTGCTAGCAGAATGATCAAAAAACATTTCCTTAGAAGAAAACTAGTGTAAATTGTTGCATCTCATCATTGAGACACGAAGTGAGATTATTAACATGTTGTAGTAACATGAAGGCTCTGTATTCATATTTTGTTAATCGAGATTGATTGCCTTCTGCATTACATCCTATCCAATCTGGTGTGCTACTACTGATTTATCAGTGTTGTAGAGATTGAGATGTTGCCTGGTTGCATTTGCATCCATGTGCTCCAAGAAGTCCAAAACTTTTAAGGGGGTGGTACAACTGGAGTTAAATTTTTAACTGGGGGATGGATTTGGAGTATGGCCAAGACTGCCTGGGCTTCTGGAACTACTGAGAGTTGTGGGATGATAGCCAATCCTGACTCTGAGAAAAGCCTGAAGATCTCAGTCACAAAACCCACATACATGAATTTTTCAGCAGATTATAATTTTCTGGGTGAAGCCCAGTCTGGAGACCGTGGAGTCTGGCCAGGGGCATGGTGGTGATTTTGTGGAGTGTGGGAGCAAGTGGCTGCAAGATTCTGTTTGGGTGGACACTGGACTGATCTGTCCCCATCCAGGATGCCCTGGATGTCTCAGCCATGCACAAATGTCTGGAGAAATTTTTCTGGCTTGTTTATCAATTTCAAGATTTGTCTTTTATTCTAACTATCCTAGTGAGTGTTGTAACTCACTGTAATGTTAATTTGCATTTTCCTCAAGGCTGATGATATTGACCATTTTATTGCATGTTTCCTTACTTTGGCAGAGTGTTTATTCAGAGCCTTTCCTATTTTTTATTTGGGTCATTTATTTATGGTTATAACGGAACTGTCATTCTAGATATAAATTCCTTATCATACATTTGATTTATAAATATTTTCAGCCCTTTTATGGGGTATCTTTTTTGCAGCACAAAATTCTCCAATTTAAAGGATGTTCATAAAAACACGTATTTGTGAACCAGGGTCATGTAACCTCTGTTCATGCTTTTCTAGATTTGGTTTGTCTCAGGAGCTCCTCCAGTTTCCTCTGTGACCATCTCATTTTGTGCCTGAGACCGTCTGGAATGGGTGCCTGGAAATGTCATGGGAGGATGATGGTCCCATTTTCAGAAACTGCTTTGAGCATAGGAACTATCTTCACTTAATAATGACAATATAAAATGTGAAAACAAAATAAAGAAGATTTTGGCTCAAAGATTTTCTTCATGTTCTTAATGGGGCCACTCCCAGCAGTTCTCTGTGGTCCTAGGACCATTCCTGGTATAGTGCTCAGCCTAGAGTTGTAGGCTTGACAGTTCCGTTCTTGGGCCTGGCTGTGTTTAGGGCTATGCCCAGCCATGCTCAGGAAGCCATCTAAGTGGCGGGAGCAAGCTCACTGGCTAAACGTTTAGCCTCTCATCCTAGCCCCTCAAATAGTTCCTTGCTCTTATTAGATTTGAGATTCAGTGCCATGAAAATATGTTAAGCTGACGGATGTGGCTTTTACTTGAAAATGCAGGTATTTCGGACCCATTCATAAATGAGTCTTTATACTTCTTTATAGAGTTCCTGAATTGGAAGTAGAAGAAACTCAGGTTCAAGAGATGACCTTAGATGAATGGAAAAATCTTCAAGAACAGACCAGACCAAAGCCTGAGTTTAACATTCGAAAACCTGAGTCCACCGTCCCTTCCAAAGCAGTGGTGATACACAAGTCCAAATACAGAGATGATGTGAGTATGATATTTTGAATCTAGAGGTACCCTTTGATGTCACCTTATTAGAATTGAAATGGGCATTTCTATTTCTGTTTTGAAAATAGAACATCAGTAGTTGGCATTCTAGTTCCTACCTAAGAGTAATCCAAGGTGACATTTGCTAGCTTTTACTGTGAAATTTTTCATTAAGAAAAGGGATCGAAACTTGACCTGTTGATAATTAAATATAAGGTAGTTGTAGTAACAGTACATTTGCTGAGACAGTTAAAATGCTGCATGTTAATTGTACTTTATTTTTTGTCTTTAAAATGAGGTGCAGGGGCTGGAGAAATAGTACAGCAGGTAGGACATGTGGCTGACCCCCAGTTAAATCCTGAGCATCCCATGTGGTTCCCTGAGCACCACCAGGAGTAATGCCTGAGAGCAGAGCCAGGAATAACTCCTGAGCATCAACAGGTGTAACCCCAAAACAAAACAAAACAGACCAAAAATCAGAATATTTCCACAACAATGCCATTTCAAAGGAAAACTGCTCTGCATTTGAGTTTTGAGACATGATAAGATTTCCTTCTGCTCTAATTCTTAGTAAGAGCATGCTATACTGTGTGGGGTTCTGCTCTCACGGCAGCAATTCCATGTACTCTGCCTTATCATCAAACTCAGAAGGTACAGCACAAGCGAACCTGGCAGTGTGACTGGGTTCTGCTCCAGTCACCAACTGTCCTGTCGAACTGTTCTCAGCCTCACTCTTGTGAGGGCCTGATGTTCAGCTCTTTGTTGCAGACCTCAGCTTTGAACGTAGCAGTCAGCATATATTGATAATCAGAAAATGCAGATTGTGATTAAATGATACGTTTACCTTTAAGGGTACACTGAAATATTCTAATTTTCAAATTTTAAATGTGCATCATGAGATAACAGATATTTCTCTCTAGGATGCCAATTTGTTTGTTGTTGGTAATGAGCAATTTTTTTCCCTCTGATATTATTGATTTTCCATTTCAAATCCAGGAATTTTATATCACATAGATTTGTTTGTGTTCCCATTGATACTTGTATTGTATTTGAGTGAATACTTTTGGTGGTGGACTTTGGGCCACACCTGATATGCTTGGGGGTTACTTCCAAAGTTGCTTGGGAGAAGCTTGCAATGCTGGAGATTGAATCCAGGTCTCCTCAATGCAAAACCTGTCCTCTAGTTCAACAAGTAATTTCATTTAAGAATTATTTATGTCAAAGGATCCTCTTTTCTTTTCACCATCCCAAGCTCTTAGAACCCTTAACTAGTAAGTTTTAAACTATTTTTGTCATTTGTTCTCTAAAAAACTGTTTTTTGGGGCCAAACCTAGGGGTCTCAGGGCTTTCACCTGGCTCTCATCTCAGGGATCACTTCTTGTAGTGCTTTTCAGACCACAGGGGTGCCAGGGATCAAACCTGGGTCAGCCACATAGCAAGGCAAGAGCTCCCTGCTCAGTGGACTGTCTCACTGGCCTGTGTTTGCCAAGAAATTCCTGTGAGGTATTTTCACAAGCCCATTAGCTGTTTCCTGTCTACTTTCATTTTGTTCTGGGGTATTAAAAATAAAGCTTTGCCTAAAACATAGGCAGCATTTGCATGTGAAACATACTTCTGACATTTTTGGTAAAAATAGAAGCCATTCTTCCTCTGTCAACACCAAATCCATACCCCTATCTCCCGAGAGGCTTCCTGGAATATTTGAATCAGCTGGGTTAATTGAGTCATCAAGTTTGGTGTCAGTGAACCACACAGCGTTAGTTCCTGTTAATCTTATCACACTGAAGATTTTAGTCAGAAATTTTTCTTAGAACAGCAAAAGCCAAATTATGCATTCACTGATTTACTTTTCTCAGGGTGCCCTAAGAGGCAAAAGTGTTCTTTACATCCAAAGGCAAACAATCACGTTTATTTGAGAAGTTCAGACCCGACTTGGTGAAATGTGCTGTGCTCTTTGAACGCTCATTGCTCAGCGGAAATTTGACTGCACAAAGTGGGATGTGGCTGTTGCCTCCAGAGATGACATGCTGGGAGCCCATTCCTCCCTCCACACAGCGTAGTTCCCCATAACCAGTTCCAGTGTGCCCAAGTCCTGTCCTTCACCTCTCTAACTTGAATTCACTGAACTAAGACGTGTGTGTGTGTGTGTGTGTGTGTGTGTGTGTGTGTGTGTGTGTGTTGAACCCAGGCCTCATATATTCACTACCACTGAGTCATATCCCCAGTTTTTACACTTTATTTTAATCTGAAATTTTAAAGCAAGCACTAATGTTAAACTTGAAGCCTGTAATAAATATCTGGCCAGAAGAGGCTGATGTACAGATTTGGGGAATTCTTCATATTACATATATTATTCCGAGATCAATGGCATTGTTTCTGTAAGTCGCTTTCATTTAAAAGTGAAGGCTTAGTTTCATCCAATATTATGAAATAAAGCCAAATCTACTTGTTTAATAAATATTTAATAAATTATAGTGAAATGTCCTTAAACACTAGATGATTTTATTCATATGTGGAACACAGAAAACAAACATACAAACTTCAACGAAATAAATCAGAAATACATGTTTAGGCTTAGACTATAAATTTTTGTTTTCTTTTTTGGTTTTGATTCACACCAGGCTGTGCTTAGGGCTTACTCCTGGCTCTGTGCTCTGGGATCACTCCTAGTTGTGCTTGGAGGACTTGGAGGGGGCTGGGGATAGAACCTGAGTCAACCATGTGCAGCAAAGCACCCTGTCTTCTGTACTGTTACTCTGACTCAGCTTAGGCTATGTTAAAAAATTGTTTTAAAGTAGCTTAAGTTATTTATGCAGCATTGGTAGCAACCCTCAGATAAACCATACTCAGTTTTTGTCATTTTTCTATATTTGGAGTCAGAATTGTAGCACTATAGCACTGTCCTCCCATTGTTCATTGATTTGCTCGAGCGGACCCAGTAACATCTCCATTGTGAGACTTGTTGTTACTGTGTTTGGCATATCAAATACGTCACGGCTTTGCCATGTGGGCGAGATACTCTCTGTAGCTTGCCAGACTCTCCAAGAGGGGCGGAGGAATCGAACCTGGCACGTCCGGGCTGGCTGCATGCAAGGCAAATGCCCTACCACTGTGTTATCGCTCCAGCCCGAGTTATTTATTGTAAATACCACACTTTTTAACCTTGTGGTATGTGTACAGTTAGCTTCCATGTGAAAGGAGTTTCTCCATGAAGTTCTACTCTAGGAAGATGATAATCCCTATTTATTAGAGTAGGATTTGTGACTAAAGACAGAATTAAAAGATTTACTCTCAGCAAAATACGCCTCTTATAATACAGTTCTATTGATTGCTGTTGGTTATATCCAAGCTTGTATACACTTCTATGCACATATATACATGCACACACACTTATGATTGCTGTGGGAGTCAAATCCATCAGGATTGTGGAGCCCACCCAGGCCTTATACATATATGGAAGATCATGCTTTGCCACCTGACCCACATTCTTGGCCAAAATCTTACATCTTGGCCTGCCTACCTCCTTTTTAGAAAAAAACAAAACAAAACACACTGGCCTCTGGAAATCCACCACCTTTGAGAGAACAAACAGTGTTCGCCCCCACCCCCCAGGGCCAGAGAGATAGCCTGGCTCATCCTGGCACTGCATGGTCCTCCAAACACTATTCGGAACAACCTCCACAACTTCCCCCAACCCTTTACCACTGGGTGTGGCTCCAAGACAGCAAAAAACAGAGAGAGGAGCCCCAGTTGCACTGGAACCTAGTGGCACACTCCATCCTTCCAGTGCCCTCCAGGGGTGGCACTGCCCACATCTTGCTCGCCTCTTTAACTGATAGACATTGGTCTTTCCTGAAACAATGTTAAAAAGTTAGTTTGGATTCAGACAATGACTGCAGAATGCAGATACCCTCTTCCTAGGGCCTGCGAGGTGGCTCCAACATGACTTGTCACCTGCTTTGGCGATCAGCAGACTGCCACCCTGTTCTGCTGGCAGAGTGAGGTCATGGATGCGTGTATTTGATGCTGTGACTGTATTTCAGATGGTGAAGGAGGACTATGAGGATGAGGCCCATGTTTTCCGGAAAGCGGCGAATGACATCACCTCCCAACTGGAGATCAACTTTGGGAGCCTCCCACGTCCTGGACGCGGGGCCAGAGGCGGCTCCCGGGGAGGCCGGGGAAGGATCAGAAGGGCAGAGAACTATGTACCCAGGGCAGAAGTGGTGAGTGCTGGACTCCAGATTCTGGGTGGAGGGAGAGCATGAGAGCGTGCTGAACACTTCCACTGGACGTGAAGAGTCATTCCGTTCTGCCTTCAGCTCCTTCCCTGTTAGTGCTGTTGGCACGTTTGAAGTGGGGCCACTTCTTTAGTTGGCCTCCTGGAAATCAGCCGCACAGACTCTCCTGTACCTGGGTCATCCTGGCGGTGTAGTCTGCAGTAACTGTGGCTCAGGATTGTGAAAACACTCTCTCATCAGACCTGCTTGCCAACTGGCTCAGCATTCATATGGGTTAGCAAGAATCCTAGGGCTTCACAGCTTCCTGTAGCCTTTCCAGCTTACCTCGCCTCAAACCATTTTCGCCCATTTCTCAGCCAACACCACTTTACTCCTGGTTTCTCAGTGAAATCTATTTTATTTTGAATTGGGGGCCACACCCACACCCACCTGTACTCAGGGCTTACTCTTGGCTCTGTGCTTGGAGGAGGAGGGGCACAGACTTAGGGGACAAGATGGGTTCTGGGGATCAAACACAGGTCAGTGACATGCAAGGCAAGTGTTCTACCCACTGTACTGCAGTAACTGTGGCTCAGGATTGTGAAAACATCTTTCACCCCGAGATGGCACAGCCTGTTGCCATTTTTGCCATTTTACTTGACAGGACTTCTCCACCCTGGCCTATTTACCTGAGTAGATCCTCAGAGCTCTGATTCTTTCTCTTAGACCAAATCAGTCCCTGAAGCATTCTCTCCACTTACAATTTTTTTTTCTTTCTGGTGGGGTTAGCATCAGGGGAGTGATATCTTTAAGTAGACAAGAGAGGCAAAATATTGACCTATTCCAATTTTCCCGGTGTTTTCTTAGTACCATGTAGCATCACAGGCCCATCCTAAAAGCTCTCCAAGGAGATGCATGAGTGAATATCCCTGTTCCTGGGAGAGTTTCCCTGCGCCATTGTGGCCTGGCAGCCTTGTCGTGCTGGCTGCTCATGGAGACATTTCTCTGGCTGCCTAGGTCCCCTGCCCACGCCCTAGTGTGAGCTCTTGCAAGGGCCTTGGTGTCAAACTTCACTTAAGCAAGGACCAAGCCAGTGGTGTATTTCTGGGTGTAATTGAGAGCAGGTTGGGAAGGATCCAAATCCATGCCTTTCCCATTGCAGAGAACACAGACTCTTCAAAACAACAGGCTGTGCCATCTCGGGGTGAGAGACATAGCTTTGGGATTACTTCGTCTCAGCACAGGCTTATGTCCAGTGCACAGTACCAGACCTGAATGTGGCACAACCTTTGACACCAAACTGTTAGATGCCGAGTCCCTCGGGAACTTCAGTGAAAGTTATGACACCTATCCGAAGGGCAGAAGTTGTCTTGGATCATCATTTCCTTATCAGTGTTCCACTGTAGAGAAAGCATTCTGCATTTTTACAGGAGGTGCCCAGATTGGGGAAAGGGAGGTGCTTCCCTGTGCACAGAATCCTCAGTGTCCTTTCCCTGTCCAGAGCAAGGCTTCATACCCCATAGAACTGGCTGAATGACAGTTGGTTTTCTCTTCTCTTTTTTAGATACAAGACATTGCTCCCAACCCAGATGACCCTGAGGACTTCCCCGCTCTGGCCTGAGAGAGCCCTCTTTCCCTGGCAAGGAAACAGCCCCAGTGCACCTGGAGAGAGACTTTCCTTGCTGTGAGGAAGAGAATCAGACTCTGAGAACAATAGATGTTGCTTTTTTCCCCAGGTGTAGTGTGAATTCATTGCACTTCTCTTGGCATGGGGGGTTTGGGAATCTGGTTTTCTCCAGACAAGCCTGGCACTTTTTCTAAGGAATCCCAAATGAAGTTCAAAAATTTAAAATATGTATACAGAGCTTGTATTGAATCCTCCACAAAATAAGGAGAGTTAGAGTTGTAAACTAGAATCTATTGTGACTGCCAGCAAGTTATATAGGTAGCCAAAGACAGTCCTTGAGTTACAGAGAAAATACATAAAACTGACCAGCAGTCATTAGCAGTTTTCAGAGAACAAGAAATTAAAATATGATTGTATTTATGTTTACTTGTAAATGTGATACTCTACTGAAATTTTGTGAGTTGTTTTTTATTTAATCAATAATTTTCAATAATTAATATTTCACCACTGGTCACCCACTCTGTGACAGAGAATTAAGGATTGATTTATTTTTTAAATGGTGACAAACTACCTCTTGGTTTCAGAGTGTTTGTGTGTGTGTGTGTGTGTGTGTGTACATGCGTGCGCACACGCACACACACCCCTCTACCTACTTACTGTAAATATGTATATTGAATGTGTGGTGGTTTCAGAGAAGGGTGATTATTATGGTCTTTAAAATCATGTAAACCTACTGGTCACATAAAAAGGGGTCCAAGTTAATATGATGCAGCTTATTGCCGTAACCTTTTCTCCCTTGAAATGAATGTCACAGAGTTCACTGACTGTGTCTTTATCATGGGCAAGGCTTGTAAATAATACTTAATGCATCAATATGCTGTGTTTTTCACTTGGTCCTGACACCAATTCAAATTCCTAGCCTTTACTGAGGAACTGGAGTTGCTCCCTCATCCAGCAGAAGAGCTGAGCCTGTAGGGCACAGTCAGGGAAGGGGCGTTATGGGGACAGTGCTCAGAGCTCCCCCACTTCATTGAGGAAACCAGGGGTGCCTTTCATCCCTGGCTGGGTCTGTGCTGCTCCCTGCTTTGGGAACTTGGACCCACAAAGAAATAATGGTTGGTATTCCCTCTTGGTACTGTAGAAAACCAAATCCTTTGGTAGATAGGAATGTGAGAAAGGGATAGTGTAGAGGGCCCATATTTTGTCAATCAAAAATAAAACCTTAGCCATGATAGTCATTCTAGAATATCTGCTGTGGTGTCAGCCTACTTTTGGTCTGTTATTAAATTAATAACAAGGTACTGAGCTGTATTAACTGTTTTCTTTCCTTTTCCTGAAAAAGATGAGATGCGTCCCCGATCCAAGTCTTGTGAGAGTGAATCACTGGTATGCATGACACTGTTCCATTTCTCAGTGGGTCAATCATTTTATGTAGACCAGCATAGTCATTTCGCTTTGCTTCATCTTTGAAGAGACAGAGTACAGTGCTTGCCTTACCTTTGGCCAACCTGGGTTCAATCACATACAGTCCTCTGCGCACTGCCAGAAGTAATTCCCGAGCACAGACCTAGGACTAACCCCTGAACATTGCTGGGTGTGGCACCAAAACTAAAAACGAACAAAAAGGAGATCCCTTTCAAACAAGGGATTTTTCAGACAAAAAAGGAGAATATTCCACTTAGTGTTTAGAACAACACTTTTGAAAGTCCTTAAAGCTGGATTTACTGTTGTTTGCAAATAACATTTTTGAAATGGTAAAGGTTCCTGTCCTGGGAAGCATGCTTGGATACTGTGGCTGGAAAGAGTGGGGGATCAAACTATGGAGGGCTTTACTCATCAGTGGGAAAGGTGGACAGGGAATTTCCTTGGTGTGATTGTCTACAGTCTAGTGCCCAGAGAGGCAGAGCAGAAGCAAAAGGCAGAGAACTACCTACTGGGCTGGGAGAAACAGGAGGTGGAGAATTACGTGGACTGGTGTACCAGGCATGTCTTCCAGATCCAGGTTCCACGGCCAGGTTTCTCTGCAGAATGACTCTGGCACCGGGCAGTGGTCTTACACAGAACCAAGCCGAATGAGGCTGGGTAGGAAGATCAATTGTTTTGGAAATTGGTCAGGCCTATCTGGACTACAAGGGTAGGTATCATCCCTGGGCCATTCTCCATGACAGAATTTCTGGCTCTCAGGGCAGCAGTGTTAGACCTAGCAGAGAGTCATGAAGAGGATGACGTGAGTCCAGGGCCAGCCACTCTTCTGGTTAAAGGTTTGGGAAGAGGCGGATTCCCTGAAGCAGCTGTGCTACCTGTGAGGAGCGCCTTTATCTAAAGTGATCCTGTGTTTGGTGTCTCCACCCCACCCTCAGTGCCGGAGTGCCAGTGTGTTCCTCTGCTCAGTGCAGCACCATCGTCTAGACTGAGGGTGATTTCTCTGTGGTTTCTCAAGGGTTCTGGAGCATGCAGAGAGAAAGGCTGCAGGTTAGATTCAGGATCACCAGTAAAGCACGGGTGGAGACAGGAACCCAAGTTTGTCTCTGGGGGGAGGGGGGTTCACATGGAGCTTAAGGTCCACAACTTCCAGGTCCTGTATTCAAGCCTCAGCTGCATCTGCCAAATGCCTGGGCTATGGGCAAGTTGCCTCCTTGCTCACAAAGTTGTCCATAACTAAAGGCAACAAGAATTTCCCTAGCCCATCTGTGAAGGTGCTCAAGCATGGGCAGAGCAGGGCAACCGCAGAAGCAGTTGCCTTCTATGTGTGACTCCCTTGTGGAAGCGTGTCTGACGAGATGGGCTTGAGAACAATGTCACCGGACAGGGAGAGGGGCATCCACTTGCCCTGGAGCCTTGGGCGACGAGTCCTGAGTTGTCAGATACCGAGTTTGGCACCCACATCTCTGCGAGAAGCGTGCATCCCCACCTCTAGAGGCCATACCTGGACACCCTGTGTGCCACTGTCTTGTCAGTACTGGTCTGCCTGTGTCCCTGCTGCTGAGCTTGCATGGGAGCAGCAAGGAGCAGCAGAGTTTTCAGACAGATGCAAACTGGACATGTGTCTCAGATGGTGAGGGAAGCAGGGCTGGAGAGCTGAGCAGAGGGGAAGTGCAGGACATGCAGAGGCTACTTGTCCAGTGAGGAGTAGGGTGTCCTGCCCCAATTCATCTAGGGACACACCCAGAGAGGATGTCAACTGCCAACAGATCTTCACTACTAATCTGGGGGCTGGTCAGCCTTATGAGGTCACAGCATCATGTGGTGTGGCCCTGGTATGTGACAGGACAGTTGTGTCTGCCTTTATGGTGTAGCCCATGAGTGATGCTACAAATGTCCAAATCACAAATTACCCTTTGAAGAAAAAAGGTTCCCTGCCCATCGGAAGAACAACAGAATCTTGGGGTGATTGGGGAATAGTGCCTTTAAGATAAGCCTCAAGGACAGCCACCAGAATTAGTCAGTGCGCAGTCATTGAGACCATGGGAGCCTGAGAATTTCTGCATGAACTTCCCTGGGAAGACAGACACAAGGGCTCCAGCTGTTGCCAGACAGGCACGGTGCTTCAAGAGTTGTGGCCCAGGACCAGGGCCTCGGGACTCTGCCAGGTGGGGCACAGTCCCTGCTCTTACCCAGCCACCCGCCGTCCACAGTACCAGGGGAAGAACAAGGCAAACACTCGTTCTGAGCAGCTGAGGCCCAGGCCTGAGGAGACAGGCTTGGATGGCAGCTGGAGAGGGTTTCTGCTGGCCACCACATCCTGGAGCGCTGCTGGCCACTGGAGTCTAGTCCCTGCGAATCCCGAGCCAGATGAAGAGCCGGTCTAGAAAGGAGATGGCACGGGAGAGCCATCCGTCTCTGGAAACGGAGGAGACAGTAAGATGTGCTCACGACACCGGGACCTGGAGGGCCACTGCATGGAGCAAGCACTGGCTCAGCGTGAGCTGTGTAAAAGGCCCCGAGGTTCAGGGCAGATTGGGTGCTGGCATGGTAGAGCGGGTCTGGGTAAGCCCATTGCACCCCACCCCATCCTGTCCTGCAGGTGCCTGGTGTCCACCAACTCTGTCACCAAAAGCTCTACTCTCGGCAACTAAGAAATGTGTACAGACAGCCTCTTGGTGAAAGCCAGGCCAGGCGGGCCAGGGCTCCATCTTCCTCTAGCAGCCCTGACTCAAGCAAGCCTCAGGCCCTGTTCCAGCCTGACAGGGAAACTTGCCTCTGCCCTTGAGGGCCCAGGGAAGGGAGGACAGGGCCAGGGAAGGATAATTCACTTCACTTGGTTCTCCCAGGAGACTGTCATTCTCATGAGGTGGCCCAAGCAAGCAGTATTGGAGGAGAGCAATTCCCCCATCTGCTGAGGGGTCTAGAGCGGTGGGGTGAGGGTCAAACTTTGCACTGACTGGGGACATCTCTGGCATTCTACATAGTCCTACGCAAGGAAGAACTGGGATGCCTGAAAAGCGATGCTGTTTTGCAGAGAGACACCCATAATAAGAAGCGGCCATTGTTTCCCTCCAAGTAAAACAATGCACAATCCATCTTTTCCCCTACCAAAGCCTAGCCCCATTTACAAATGACATTTGAGGGGTCTATAATGCAGAGCTAGGCACAAAACTCGTGCCTTGAATGTGTGAAACTCTGGGTTTGAGCCTTAGCACCTAAAGGAAAAAATGACATCTGACCCAGGGAGGAACTAGAGGGGTCCAGCCCAGTGGGCCCAGATGTGACGTTGACCTGGAGTCTGGCCCTGCTGGGTGGGGTCTCCTTACCTGGGCATCTCAGTGCGGCTGGAGTACCCGTCATCCAGAAACATGTCAAGGCCATGCAGACTTGCTAGCAGAGACATGAGACACAGTTAGAGTCCAAGAAACACGGCTAAGGTGCCACCAACATTCCCTGTGAGCTGTCTGGCAGGGTTCTGGTGGGTGTTTCCCAGAAAGGTCCAATGACTGTCCCAGTAGGCAGAGAAAAACAATGGAGGCATACTGTTAATGACCAATTAGAGGACAAAATACCTCCATTAGGAATCATCAGGAGGGCTAAGATAGAGGATTCCCCACACGGGGCCCAGGAGCAGGCAGAGCCCAGAGAACTCTCTTGTCAGTCCTTGGGAAGGCTATAAAGGC